TTAGAAAGCTTTTACAATTAAAAACTGATATGAGATCTACAGTCAGCTTTAAATAAGTAAGCTCAATTATTCATAAGAGATATGAAGGCATGTATGGTTGAAATTATTCGATTATTTTAACACCTCAATCCTTTTATTAGATGTACTAATGAGTAGGACACAAAAAGATGATCATAGGTACAAAATCCTACCCTTATCCCAGCCTGTGTGGCTCATCAGTTAAGTGTTGACCCATGAGCCCGGTCATGGTTCCATCCGGACCAGGGCACATGCCCCATTAGGGCGTACAGGAGGCAGCCAATCAATGATTCTCTCTCATCATTGATCTTTCTATATTTCTCCCTTCTTCTCTCTGCAATCAATAAAAATATTTTTTAAAAAATCCTACCCTTACATTCTCTAACATGGTGCTAATTTGCAGGAAAATGGTCCGAAATCTAATTACACAAGTCAAATAATTATAATTATAGATTTTTCAAGAATTTATTGAAAATATGCTTATATACAGTGCTTCTCCCTTCCGGAACCCAGCTTTTTTCCCATATATTTTAATTGAATTCTTTTAAAATTAAGTCAAACTTATTCTGAATTGTAAGAGAACTAAGAAGTGGGCTTGAGGATATTTAAGTTTTTTTCATGAGTTAAAAGTACTGACTATATTTTTCTCAGAATTCCAAGTGCTATAAATTCTTATTTCTCACTTCATGAATGACTACAGCATATAGGGTTATAGAGGTCAAGGAAAAGCACCATTTAATTTGATTTTCCTTTCTTTTGTGTTCTACAACACTGAATATGTGTTAAAGCTGATAAAGAAGAAGAAATAAAAACCCAATTCTATTAAAATACCTTTTAACATAAGACATTTTATTTCCATTTTATTAATCATCCTGTAAGATACCAAACTAGAATGATCCTTATATCAGTTTAAAGCTATCCAGGCACACAGTTTAGTCAACCCAAATGAATGCTAAAGGATGCGCATTGAGGCCTGTGCTTCATTCATAGAGTGAGGTATTTCAAGTGGAAATCTCCACTGATCGCATACATCCACCAGCCTAAATAGCTGCAACAGACTCAAGGGCAGGGCCTGCAGTCCCCACAGGCTACGGCTATCCTAAATGACCATCCTCCTAAATGACCATCCTCGCATCACATCTCCAATTTCAGGGCTGTGTTCCAATCAGATAGTAGCACCTTTTAGAATCTGGCGAAAATCCACAAGACAGGGTAGCCACACACATAAAAATACCACTCTGGACACAAGGGTTTGTAAAAGAAAACGAAAAAGAAACACCACTCTACTCACAAACATATAATTCTTGCCTAATCATCTTAAATTGCGGCCCTCTTAGTGTAAAACTGGTGACATAATCCCACCAAGGCCATCTTCAGTCTCCTTCCCCATTTTGGAAAACAGAGGGGCAAGTGAGAGAAAGCATACCACCACCGTAAGCTGGAAGAGGAATTACGAAATGCACTTAGTCAACTCAATGGTCTGTTTTAATGCACGAAAGGCAGACATCCTTCAATCTACTCATCAGATAATGGATCCTTCTAATTGAGTACAAGTTCATGTTTTGGTGATTCAGCTCTTGTAACCAAATGGAACCACAACTTGAAGGACTGACGGGAGTCCCCATCTTCCCACCCGACAGGGACACTGGCCTCTCACTGTGGCAACTGACCACTGTTCCATTTCTACTTCTGAGGTCACTGATTAAGCAGAAAATGCAGAAAGGCTGATGCAGAGGATGGTGACTGTCCAGACTTAGCCGGGAGCTTGGCTCCAGAATCAAGATTTGCCAGAGTCCTGGAAGTCATTTGTCATTTATGTGCCATATACTCCACCCGATATTGCCACCGGATTTAAAACACTCTTTGAAGACAAGATTTTAAAACAGACAATTGAGGATTAATACGAGGTTTTATTTACCCCTTGTGTTTCGCAGTCTCATATTCCTGCCCCTGTAGTAGCCAAAATAGCCAAGTCTCAAAATTAAACCTGGAAAATGAATGATCAAGCCATTTTCTCCCAGAATTCACATATGAAGACTATAAAAAATGGACTAGAAGATATAAGATTCCTTCCATTTATTGAAAAATACCACAGATAAAACCAAGACTTCTGCCTCAGTGCATCTAAACGTTAAGCTTGAGTAATCAAGCTTGACCTGATAGGAGTAACAAGTCAATGAGTGTAACATCTTTTGATGTGTGAGCACTTACTCAGGGAGCAACTGGTAACTGAAATCAGCAGAAAAAAGCAAAGTAAACTGGATTGCTAAATAGGCAACATGCATATGATACGATTATCGTTTTAGATGGGGGGAAAAATCTGCTAACAGCCTCTAGTTAATCATCAACATTCTACTGGTGGGAAGGGAAGGATGTATTCGTCTAAACCTGCCCAAAAGTCCATAGACCCAAACAAGAAAGCTCAAGCTGTAATTCATAACTATTCAATGCACTGAAGTGATCTCATTTGCGCCACCTGCATATTTGTGGCCAATATATTGGTCTATCTGATATCAAAGGCAATTCGAAATTGCCTAGTATGCCACCCTTTCAAGAGAAATAGAAACCAAAGTCCTCAAATCTGAATTTTTGCCAAAATATCCATTAGATCTATTAATAACCAAACAGACGGACTTGACGTAATCACTGTCTGATACATGAGCTGGATCATGATGAGAAGGTCAAAGGTTAAATTGTAGAAAAATTAGACGGGCAGGGTATTGCCCAACTTGATCGTCTCTCATCAAAACCAGGAAGCCAGTACCATCCCTTCCTGAGAGCCCACTCCGTGCCCGACAGCAGGCAACACCTGGGGGGACACCTGTTATAAACCACAGACATGGTTCCTGCCCTTGTGGGACATTCAGAATAGCTTCACAAAAACAAAACAAAACAAAACAACACCCAAAAAACCCAAAACATTAGTCATGTCACTAAACCCACAAAAGTGGAAACTGCTAGAAGGGTCCATGGCATGGTGAGAGCCTAGAATGGCAGATGGAATTACTCAGAGGTCAGGAACTGGAGCTTAACAGGGTGAAGAGGGGAGGCAAGAGCCGCGTGCTGAGTCACTGTTAATTAGAGTTCTTTAGAAAAGACTTAGGTCTTCAAAACCTGAGAAATACACTTTGCTCATTGAAAGGAAAAACTGCACGTTTTCCAAGGATACATGTAAGTGTATTGATTGCCTCCAAATTGATAACTGGGCAGAACGCCAAAAAGGTCAGTGATATTCTGGATGTCATTTAAGTCATTTTTTTTTTAAAGGACAGGGTTTGGCTGTTTCAAGATGGTGGTGACCAGGGAAGAGGGAGAAGACTAAGATTCGGAGAAAAAAAAAGATATAAAGAGAAGCGAATCAGAAAATGGAAGGAATATTTTTACATGAACAAATTAGAATTTACTGGGAAGGGAGTAAGTACCGTATTTCAGTGTGAACTGTTAATAGGAGAACCTGAGGAGCAGTAAAAGCCACGGAAAAAATGAACCTGACTAAAAGCTTTAGCAATTACACATTAACATTACGTTCGTTACTGGACTCTAAATACGGGTTATGCAACCGTTTGACAGTAGTTGGCATTAAAAAGTGATGTACAGTAAGTATTAAAATGTGACTCAGATCTCAAAGGGACAGTCCAGTCCTTAGGCCAAGGCGTGGGCACCTTACAAAATCTAGCTATACCAGGAGGTTAGTACCTGTTAGTAACTCCAACTACAGGGACCATGGGTTTTACAAGGATTTGTAATTTAAAGACTGAAGGTAATCTAGTTAAGAGCTGTCCCAGCCCAAACTAGACTGGGGCATCTAAAGAGGTCAAGACAATGAGGCCATAGTTCTGTGACACTTACCTAGATTTCAGCTTCTTTTTCCCTAATAACAACATTTATCAAACATATTTACCTATGTAAGCATTAAACATGTATCAAACATCAATACCCCTGCCCAGATAACTCTCAAAGGTCCTCATGTAATCTGCATCCTCAAATTGGACACATGATTTGTTTGTTTTTGACCACATCTTCCTATGCGGGCATCATCACAGAACAGGCTGGGCGAAGCTTTGCCAAGGAATGCACATGCCGGAAAATATGTCTAAAATCCAGTGACGGGGACCGAATCCGAACTCGGCTGCTGGAGTGGCCAAGAATATCTATTTCGGCCTGGGAGACTGAAGACCATCCAATGCAAATGCCCTAGCAGGTTCGCGGATGCCTTTCATAGACAAGAGCACAGACCGCATCCTTTGAAAACTTCTAACTACTCCTCCGGGATCTGTTTATCCAACCGAGCCCACAGGCAATGCACTGAGCGAAAGGGAAGACGCTGCCTCGTTTTTCAAAACCTGTCATTCCTTTTGGAAACGCGGCGTCTGCCCAGGTTTTCTTTGGCTCCCAGCGAGCGACACCCCAGGCTTTCTCTGCATCAGGAAGGCGTTGTCTGCTCCAGCCGCTGCCGCAGGAGGACTGGGTACCAAACCCAGGTGGCTCCAGGCACAGCTGCCAACAAGGACGGCAGGCGGCCTGGGACCCAGGGGTGGCCCGTTCGCCGGGCGGCAGCACGGGCCCTGGCCCAGCAGCTGACTTTCCGCATCTGGGAGAGGCAGGGCCCGGGGCTCAAGACTCTGGGCCCCGGGGGTCAGTTCCCCACGGACTCCCCCCGCAGCCCAGCGGCTCGGCGGCTCGGGCTGGGTCGCTAGCCCCGGAAGGGTGTGGAGAAAGGCTCGGGTTTTCCGACTGCGGATGGCGCAGTCGCCCGCCGTGGAGACCCGCGACAAAGGTGCGAGCCCCCGGCCGCGCGCGCTGCTGCTCGGGTCCCGCCCGGGCGCAAAACACCCCACCACCACCCTGGAAAGAGGGGTTCGTGCGCCCGAGTTCGCAGATGGGCTGGGCGGGCCGGGAAAGTTCTCGCAGGCAGAAATCAGAGGGATCCCCCCCTCCCCGCTCCGCCTCCCCGCGGCAAGGTGGCCGGGCGCTCCCGTAACCTTGGTGGCCGGGTCCGCGGCCGCGAATGTCCGGGTCCCCCGGCGCTCCGGGCGCCGCCTCCGCCACCGGGCTGCCGCCGCGGGGCTCGGGCTCGGCCGGCGCCCCGCTCCCCGCCTCCGGCTGCTCCGGGCTCCGCTGCTCGGTGGAGCTCCCAGCACCCATGGCTGCTCTGCGGTTCCCCGCGCCCAGCCGCCGGGTCACGCCTTCTGCAAATCGCGGGGCCGCGGGGCCGAGCGAGGAGCCGTGCGCCCGCGAGGTCCCAACAGCGCCTTCCTCTCCCGCTCCTCCTCCGATCGCGCCGGGACTGCGAATGGAGGAGACGCGCTCGCGGCAAACTCCTTAAAAGAAAAAGAAAAAAAAAAAAGAGCCACCTCTTCGCCTCCTCCTCCCCCTTGTTTTCCCCTCGCTTCATCACATGAGCGCCGCCCAGACACGCCTTGCAGCAGCATCCCCCCCCCCCCCCCCCCCCAGGCTGCTGGGACCCGAGGCCGCAGGGAGTCGCCAGCCCAGGTCCCAGGTCCCGAGGGCGGCCCCCAGGGCGCCCCCTGTTCCGAAATTCGGACCTGAGCTGGGGGGTGCCCCAGGATTGCCGATGGCGAGGGGAGATTGAGAAAGAGGAGAGGGCAGGCAGCCTCCGGGGAGATGGGATTAGCCGGGTTTATTGAATGATAGGTACCCAAGGCGGGAGCTTCTGCTGCAGCTGACTTTCAGCTCGCCCGGCGGCGACCCCAAAGCCCCATTTGCTCTCCTTCAGGCTGTGGTTGACTCCAAAGGTTTGTGCCTGCCCCTCCCCGTTCACAGGAGAAAGGCGAGCGCTCCGCAGCTTCTCTCTGGTCGGACCATATTAGGACACCTCACGTGGCAGGCGCGGGGAATGGAGAGGTTAACGCAGTCAGGCCACCGAGGAGGTGGGCCAGGCGGCCCCGCGCGCTCCTACCATCCGGAACAGTGATGTCAGGCGATGTCATCAGCAGCGCTGGCCACCCTCCTTCCCTGGGGAATCGGGAAATGAGACGAATTACTGGAAAGGAGGGCCTGATGCCGGAGGTCCAGGCTACTTCTGCCTGCGCCATGCTGGACAGGAGGGGATAGGTCTTCATTTGCATCAGTCTCTCTCCCCAGAGAAAGGCTCTAAACAACATCAGCCTAAGTGGCTCGCTTTCTCTCCCTTCCTACTTTTGAATAGTGTTTGTTATATGAATATAGCAGGCAGTCAATAAATATTTGAACTACATTAAAACCGTAGCTGGGTTATTTGACACATAAGCATGAAGGTGGTGGGGCTGCAAGAGGAATGATCCCAGTTTTAACTCGCAAATTAAATGCCGTAGTTTTCATAAATAGTTGGAATATTGACAATTAGATGCCAGATAAATATCCCATGCCCAGATTTAATACAATTTAATAGAGTTGATGTAAGCAGCAGTTCAGTACTGGAATATTTTGTGCCTAATTAATTGTGTGTGAGTTATCTGGAATAAAACTTTTCTGAATTTATCAGTTTTATTTGAAGGAGTGAATAAGGACCACATTCTCCGGAATGTTACCCCTTAAGAAGCAGTATATTTGCCAAATGGTTGGTTTTCAGCATTTTTAAGCATTTCACCCATTTCAACTTAAATTTTGACTATTTAGGAAGCATTACTTCTTCTGTACAGGTACTATGCAAAGCACTTTGTGTATATAATCGCATTTAATCCTTACAACAACCACCCTTGACACAGGTCCTGTTATTCCCTTTATCAATCAGCAGGAGAAAGTAGGCTCAGAGAAATTAAGTCTGCCGCTCAAGGCTTTGCAACCGGCAGATGGAATGGGAAGGAGCTGGCCCACACGGAACCACTACACATTTCACTCTCCTGGAGGGAGCTCCAATGGGTTCTCTTGTCTCAGGATTGTCAGTGAAAAGTGGCATATAGACCTCAGCTAGGATGTTCAGAGCTAGAAACACTGTTAAAGCCTATTTGCGAATGATTAAGTCAGCACATGTGAAAATGTATCCGAAAGTAGTACAAAGACTATCAAAATTTCCCATTCCGTGAGATTACATTTATTCCGTTCTTGGGAAATTCTTAACAAAGCTGTTCACATCTCCCAGCCTTTATAGACGGCAAGGTCAAAGATTTCCAGGCAACCGTATACAACCCACATGCTGGGGAAGCCATCACCCGTGTCTGCTTAGATTACCAACTACTTGGTTCATGTTTATTTTTCAGGCTGTGAAGATGCTTGTGTTCTTGTTGTTGTTGTTGTTGTTAAGGGAAAGATAGAAGAGAGGGAAAGAATAGATAGATAAACATATCGATTGGTTGCCTCCTGCACGAGCCCCCGGCCAGGGCCTGGGCTGGGGAGGAGCCTGCAACCAAGGTACATGCCCTTGACTGGATCAAGCCTGGGACCCTTAGGTCCGACGCTCTATCCACTGAGCCAAACCGGCTAGGGCTGTTCTTATTTTTTAAAGCAAATCTTTATGTTTAAAATGTGCACATTCTAGTACTTTCTTTTCTGCCTGAAACAGCTCCATGATAAGAAGTTGTTGAGAATAATGGGCTCCTTTGTAGATTCACACAAGCACTCACATAACTACCTTTGGTTTCTAGACTGACCAAAGAATCGCTTCCATCAGATGGGAGTTACTCTTTGTTGAGTTATTTTTGTTAAGAAGAGTGGTTATGTTATTTACTATACCCAGCAATGAGATGTCCAACCTTTCTGGATATTCTGTTAGTGCTTCAGAACATTACAAAGTTCATTCATTCATTCATTCATTCATTCATTTTTTCAACACATATCTACTGAGTGTCTATTATGTGCCAAGTACACGCTCAAGGCTCTAAACCAGTGGTTCTCAACCTTCCTAATGACGCTACCCTTTAATACAGTTCCTCATGTTGTGACCCAACCATAAAATTATTTTCGTTGCTACTTCATAACTGTCATTTTGCTACTGCTATGAATCGTAATGTAAATATCTGATATGCTATATGTGTTTTCCGATGGTCGAGACCCACAGGTTGAGAACCGCTGCGTCTAAACCAAGTCACCAGGGTTTTCTTTTCTAAGGTGTTGGAGACTCCTTCGGGGAGAATTGCTTGCATTAGTGTCAGTGATGGAGGGGGAGGCAGCTGTTCTGTTTTCCACTTCTCAGTCCGAGGCTGTCAGTTACCCTAAGTTCTCAGCAGCCCTTTCCTCTAAACAGCAGGCCGCAGGTGTCCCTGCGCATCGTCTCCCGGGGGGCAGTTGGTGGTAGAGCTGTTTCCCTGAGAGAATTAATGTTCTCATAAAAACAGCTTGTGATTTCTCAAAAACAAATACATGCTTCCCGCATGGCAGGCTGAACTTGTTGTTTTATGCTAACTCCTCCAGAAAGACAGGTCATGCTGCATTTACCAATAACATTTAGAGTCGTAGCCGGGCATCGTGTACATACACCAAGGCATTTAAAAATACGTCTTAAATGAATTCATAAACGGGAAACATTTCACCACTGTATTGATACAACACCTTGAAGGAGCAATAATAATTACAATTATTACAACAGAATTTAAAAGCAACGCTTAACTCTACACCACAGATTCATGCTCTAGCTACAAAGCCTTCACTTAGAACTGTCAACTCTTCACCCTTGAAACTACCACTTATCACTTCTTTGTTTTCTCTAAATAAAAAGCCTACTTTTTTGGAACCAATTACTTACCTCAAGATATCTAAGTCATGTAAGAACCCAACTCCTACTTTTCTCTCTTGCATTGACTAGTTATAAGGAAAAATAAATAGAAGAATTAGCAATTGTATTAAATTCATGTGTAACTAATATTCCAACATTCATATAGAAACTATAAAAAAAGTCACTATAGAAATTAAGTTCAAAAGCCAACATCTATAGAAATACGCTATATATATAGTATATATGCATACATACATATAGTGTATATGGAAATGCTATTCTTCTACCTTTTAAGGAATGTATTGCTTTGGGATTAACTATAAAGCCAGCCATTTGTGTATCAATTTCATTTATCAAGATTTAAAAGGAAACTTGACTTGGGGTGGTGAACACACAATACGATATACAGATTATGTATGATAGAGTTATACATCAAGCATGTCAAATTCACGGGCTGCATGCGGCCCACAACGAATATTTTTGTGGTCCAGCCAATATAACGGCATGTAAGAAACATTTTAATAAAAATTTTGTATTTTAATTTTTACAATATCCTGTTATACATAATTATTACTCACGAACTACAACATTCGCTAATGACTGATTACTACAATCGTGTTGCATTCATTTCCCTTATGCGCCTTAACGCACAGGCGCACCATTTCTCTCCACTAATACCAGCAGCAAATATTTTAGCAGCCGATTACCACATCATTAGTCTTGTAGTGACGTGTGCAACAGGAAACATTTCGCTTTCAGAGAACAAGAAAAATAGGTTTATTTGCATTACGCTTATTAATTTGTGCAGTTATTCAGTGTCTGGTAAGTTAATGTTCAAGAAAAAAAATTAATTTGTATTAAAATGTTCTATTACTTTATGTTAACGATTACTTATTTATTTCAGCCCGTTGTATTCAGCATGTCTCTATTGAAATAAACCTACATTTCTAGGAAAATTGAAGCTTTTGTTTTTTTGCGGCTCACATTAACTTAAACCCTGCTAATTTGGCCCGTGTCAGCCTTTGAGTTTGACATGCTTGTTACACACTAATCTTAAAATCAAACAAAAAATTGGCTGCTGACTCAAATCTAAGATTATGAGCCCAGGGGAATTAATCCTTTCATTTGTATTTATATACATTTTCATTATATTTTTCCAGCCACTGTGGAAGCCTTTACAGACATAATTACTTACAGAGAACCAATTTAACATGACTGCTGCCACTTCGTTCAAGATCGTCTAAATATAAACAAAGGAATGAATGAATGTAATTGACAGGCACTCACCAATAAGCCAGGATTGCTTTGGCTCCTCATTTTTCTAGAGTTAGGCTGCTCTACGCCCTCTTATGATGGGAACCATGATATGGCAAATGAGCCCTGGCCAGTGTGGCTCAGTTGGTTGGAGCTCCTACCTGTACACCAGAGGGTGGTAGGTTTGATACCTGGTCAGGGTACATGCTCAGATTGCGGGTTTGATCCTCGGTTTGGGGCA